ACATTCTGGGGGCAGAAGTCACGGTATTCGTTCCTATTTGCAGCCAGCAAACACTGGCTATTGCTAGTTTGTTTTTTTTCTTCCTTAAAAGCGAAGTCTCCAGACTATGAAATACCACATTTACACTTCAAAGCAGCAGACATTTTCAGCCTGTGGAGCCTGGTTTCTGCAAGACTTCCACAGTCCCAGTGCTCTGATGGAAACATTGTGCTTGCAGGCCTTTTGGGTTAAGATCTGAAGAAGTGCAATGGGACTATATAATGTTGAATTTAATAATAAGATAAGATACGATAGGGATAAGAGAGGAGACAGAGAGTTAGTAAAATGGGTGGAGTCTTACTTTTGTCTCCTTCTCAACATGAATGCTCCTCCCCACACTGGGACAGTATGGGAATGCCCTGGTCAAATCCAAAGTTACTGGGTACCTTTCACTGGCTGATGGATGTTTTTCATAATCTGATGGAGTTCAGTATGTTGTCACCATTTGAGTCCCAGGAATGGCCCTGCCCCTCCATCACATCTCTCAGGAATAGATAGCAGGTTAAGAAATGTGTTATGAACACATTAAACTGGTAGTTTCCCAACCTTCAGTGATGCAAAGTCAACAGTAATAAGGAAGCAACATGCTCTTTGGCATTACTTTACTTTTCTCTCCATCTCAGCTGTAGTTTGAGTCTGGGAGTCTTAATAGACTGCTTGCTAGCAATGGGTTGGGAATAGCTGCAGAACAGATTTGTGGCAGCTACTCCCTGCTCAGGCCACAGAGATGCCCTGGGGGTTTACTTGCATCATAGCAAATGCCCCTAAGCGTGTTCAGAAGGAGAATACAGACAGCACATTGCTCTTCCCACCTGATTTTATTGTTGTGGTTGTTTTCCGATTCTCTCTCTGGGGCCTACGCAGTAATAAGCAGGTCAACATAATCACTTTGTTATGAGAAAGAAATGTAGAAATAATATTTTAATAAATGAATTAAGGGGGAGAGTTAATTGAAATTTTTCTGTATTTTTAGGGAGTATTGACATAGCATCTGGCCTTCTTACCAACATGAATCCTTCAGCGGCACAGCTCTCCCCAGACAGCTGCCATTAAGAGAGATGAGTAAAAAGATGTCTGATTAAAAGTTGGGACAGCCTCAGGAGCTATCCCCTGAGAGCGGATTGCAATGTTCTGGGAAACCACCCTGTTCACCACAATAGACGCAGAGAGCCAAAAGCATCTCTGAGGGCCACAGCTGCTGTATTTTGGTCACAGTTAGGACATTCTATAAAAGGGCAATTATGGATACAGATAACTACTCTCATAAAAATCATAAATGCTTGATGGGATCCCAAGGGACTACATACCTCACCTTCTTGTTCTTAAAGAGCTCTAATGATGGAGATGCCATAGTCTCTCTAGGAAGTCTGATTGCTTTACAGTGCTTCACTATCTAAATAAGGTCTAACCTGAATACCTTAGGAGTCCAAACCCATGATTTCTTCTCTCATCCAGAACTTTCACAAAGAACAGATTGTTTCTTCTTTCCTTTTAGCAGCCTGTGAAAAATGTTGCCATCTTAAAATCATAGAATCATGCAACATTTTAGGTTGGAAGGAACCCCTAGGAATTATCTAATCCAACCTCCTGCTCAAAGCAAGGCTAACTCCCAAGTTAGCACAAGACCACGTCCAGTCGAGTTTTGAGTATTTCCAGGGACAGAGATACCACAGTGCCTCCAGGCTCCTGCTCCAGTCCTTAACCAGCCTCATATGACCCTGGATTGGCGCAACCTTTTCATAACAGGACGGCATTGTTGATTTATGATCATCTGATGACCTCCAGCAATCCCCAGGCCTTTTTCTGTAGGACAGCTGTATTTGTAATTGAATGGACTAATTCCCTGTCCTGTATTTGGGTAGCTGATTATCTCTGCTTAAGTGCTTCATTTTGCATTTGATCGTATTGAATACCATCCCATTTATTTCTGATCCTATTTCCAGTCTGGCAAGACCATTTTGAATTACAAACCTTTAGTATACTAGCAGCCTTTCCTGGCATGATGTTGTCTGGACGTTCCGTGGTAATACTCTCTTCTACTGAAAGTATAATATTCTCTTTCCTTTTGTGGGTGGACATATAGGTTTGTTTATTTGCACCTCTCCCAGAGTGATGACAGAAGTACAGAGAAAGAGTCAATCTGCATTGGATTTTGCTAATAATTGGACTTTGCAAAGATAAAACAGCAAATGGAATTGATTCAAAACCCATTTAAAGGTGATTCCAGTGTGCTTGAGCTCAAGCATGAGAAAGTAAGCAGCAGAGACAATTTAGCTGTGGACTTTACAGAGAGGAAGAATGTGTCTAAATCATTATTTAAATTGATTTATTTAGAATTATTTAATGTTTTAGAATCATGGTTTGAAAGCTAGCTCTTGGTGGGAGCTCTGTGCACACAATGAGCATGTTTGGCCTTGAGCACATGTATCTGGTTTTAGTTAAGCCAAGCTGGCCACACTCATTCCACCCTGCACATGATCTCATTCCATGCTCCTTGTCATGGTATCTGCACACCATCCAGCAATATATTAACAGCGTGAGTAACGTGTCTTATGTTGATTATTCTGTCACCAAGGGAGAAGTGTGTCTTGTCTGGTAGGGAACTCAGATTGTCTTAAACAAAGCTCTGTACTTATGCTGGAGAAAAGTCAAGAGCTGCGCCTTGTGTTACGAGAAAGAATTGGGAAGGTGTGTGCTGGCCCTTGGGTCTTGGGTAGGGCCATTTTGGGACTCAGACCGGCCACAACCAGAGAAGATTTTGGATTCTGCACTGACAAGCTCTCCTTGCACTGTGGAGAGGCCGTTTGCACTCCTGCCAGCATGCTTCATCAGTTCATACTCTGACACTTGGGGCACCTCCAAATTCTATTAGCCCAGAAAAAAATGCTCTTAATAGTCTTTATTTTGCATTTAATGAAATGACCAGGTTGGTGTTAGCAATGCAATGTGCTGTGTGTCAGCCGAATGGAAGAAATGTCTCCAGGCTGCAGGGAGGAGAGGGAAGGCTTGAAAAACTTGTTCAGCTGCTCAGTGTTCCTATTTTTCCATGTGCAGTGAATGAGCTGAAATCTGTGCCCCTGCTGGGCCTGTTTACACCGTGTTTACCCACAGGGCAAGTTTTCTGCTATGGTCATCTGTCAGATTGGAGGGGAAGGGCCATTGCTAGTGGCTGTCATTAGAAGCTGCATCATTCTCTTTGTGTATTTACTGAGCTAAACTCCAGCCTCAGCTCCTGTCTGTGTGATAAAGGAGGTGCCTCTCTACAGCATCTCAAGTGTGAGAGCCCCAAAGCCCTTTACAGAGGCCAATTCAACTTCAGATTTTGCCTGTGAGCAAAGCGCTCCTCATTTGAAGAGGGGTAAAACTGAGGGACTGAAGACTAAAGCGAATTGCTTATTCTCCCGTACGCAGTCCTCAGAACAGATTTCGACCCAAACATGACCCTCCCTCAGTCCCTGTGCTACACTTAAACTGCTCAATCTTGTTCTGCTAAAAAGGGCAGGAGAATCTGGCATCAGCTGCTGCTGTGCTTTTGCTTTTTTTGCACAATCCACAGTTGGCACTTTGAGTCCCTGCTTCCCAGGTTTGATCCTCCTTGGCTCGGTAGCCTCCCTGCAAATACGAACTGAAGGACCTTTCTGGTGCACGGGGTTTTCCTGGCCTCCTACTGCTGCGTTTTCTCTGGAGAGTAGCCTCCGACTCATCGAGGACACTGTGGATCCAAACCCTCTGTGTCTCTTGGCTCCTTATATGGTAACATGAAGAAGTCTCAGCATTTTAGTTCTGATTTGGAGTTACCCTGGTTGTCTTCTCAGCTGGGGAACTAGAAACTTTAAAACCGTAGGCAAACATGTTCTTACCACCAAGAAACCATACCTTGGTTCATGCACGTGTATGCTGCTGTCTCACTACTGTCTTACTGAAGACCAGGCTGCATCGTTAACAATGAAATTCCCCTACAAAACCGTTGCAGCAGCTAGAGTTTTAAGCATTCCCATTTTTTTCCTTTCTGGAGGGGCTCTAAGATACTTGTTACTGTAACAGCAGAAGAAAGAGGTTGAGACGGAGGGAGGGTGCCAAGCAGGCTGTGGGGCAGAGCTGGCTTTTCTGGCAGACCACACGAACACAGAGGTGATGGTGGGCGGTGAGAGCAGGAGGTAGTGGAGCTGGGGACACCTTGAAGGGACTTGAAGGGGCTCTGCACTTTTGAGCCATCACATCCAGACATGTGGGGAGTGGAGGAATCTTTCCGGTTTGGGGTGGGGAGAGGTGTCCTTGTTCATCCCAGAGCCAAATGCATTTTGGTAACTTGTCTCTTGGCTGGCCTGAAGAGGTTTCTACCCAGATTTCTGTCCTCACCTGCTATCCCCGCCTCTGACAGAGGCCACCCTACAAAAGAGGCAGAGCAGTGAGCAGAGCTAAGTTTTCCTGATTGCCAAACCCTCGTGTTTGTGTGTGGGAAGTCCTTGAGTGACTTTGCATGAATTTATCAGAGCCTGTGCTGATGCATTTTGCAGTGGGTTAGTATAGAGTGCTTTGACAAGGTGATACGTTCTTGTGCTGGAGTCCAGCCCACCCTACTGCAGGCTGTGTCCTCTACTGGCTACAAGCCCATCGCTGGACATAGGGCTGAGGGTGCATATGAGCATGAAACCACACGGAAAGTAACTGCACTTAATGACTTGAGACATATTTAAGGGCAGAAACAAAGGGTTATGATGACTAAAGGAGCTCCAGCAAATTTCAGGGGCTGTGGGAGCTCAATGTCTCTTCAGGGCCAGCTACTAGCATTTAAAAAGGCATATGCGGGTTTTTTTTCCTTTATCTCTTCCCTAGATTTCATGCTGATGAGACACAAATCTTGACAAGCACTGAGAGCTGCACTCCCTGTCACATATCCCCAGTGCCTCGTCAGCCCCAATTTTTAAAAGTAACTGTGGGTTTCTTTTCTCATGGTGCAGGTTCCACCATATTAGCTGAGCGGCTGGGGCTGTCCACACCAAGCTCGCCCACATCGACACCCAATTCCCCCACCGTCCTCTGCAGTGGTGTCTCTGACCCCATATTGTCTACATGTGGCTCTGGCCCCCTCTGCAGCTCTATCAGTGGTAAGTGTGCTGGGATCCCCCTCTGCCTTTCCTTTGCCTCCCTCTGCCTGCTCCTGCACTCCCTCCCTCAGGCTTGTCTCCCAGGACGACCCTAAAACCACAATGATCAACAGTCTCTCCTGTCAGCTCCCTAGGGGAGGAAGGGAGAGCCTCTGCAAAGTCTATTTTCAGTCTGTTTTATGTGGAAGCCGCTTAGATGCCTAGACAGCAATATTTTTCCAACCCTTTTCATCATGAAAGGTCCCAAGGGAGGCAGCAGAGTTTCTGTTATGTGCGTGGCCCTGTGACGCACAGCTCCTTCTGGAGAGCAGTGCGGCAGTGACGTGTTGTATGCTAGCTTAGATTGGAGTTATGGGTATGCCTACTGCCCCCTCTCCCTCTCCACACACCTACAGTACCCTCTTCAGAAAAAGGCAGTATTGGTATTTCTAATATGCCAACGAATTCCAGTGAGATTTAGATAAATGTGCATACAGTAGAAAATGATAGGCTGTTCTGCAGCATTTTTAAAACCCCAGGGACCTGCATGATCCCAAGGCATTGATGGTGGGATATAACTTACCAAGTCCTTGTCATCATTGTCCAAACCAAGAGTGTTTTTCACTGAAGGTACCTATCAGTGTCAAGTCTAATAACTGGTGACAGCAAACATTCAGATTTTTAGTGGGTTTTGGGGGAAAAAAATAGAAATTTTCTCATTATCTTGCTACCTCATCTGGCTTCATTGGGGAGGCCTTATTAAGAATCTGCCGCGAACATAATTACTGCAGCCCTTCATAGCTCTCGAAGCAATGTACCCACTGTGAGCTAGATGCTGTCCATGCAGGTACCACCCCACCACTGTCCTGAAGGATCCACACAGGGTGATTTATGGCCAGGCATTGTGGTCCCACATCCCTGGATCGGCCCTAGAGATGAAGCATTGCTTGTCTTGGGAGTTGCTGCCACCGTGTGCCACCTGGCCTCTCCCTTTTCAAAGCAGATGGCTTGATCCGCCCCTCCTGATTTTTCCTTCTTTGTTAATGTTTAGACAGCGGTTTGAACACATGAAACTGCTCTTTGTCCCTGCTGTGTGGGAACAGCTGCCTCTTGGTTTGCTGTACGTGGGCAGCAGATCCCAGCAGATGCTGCCTTTCTGCTGCCCTGAGCCTGGCATGTGAACCAGTGCTTGGTGAGTGGGACACTAGGTCACAGGAAGGACCCCGATCCTGGAGCATCCATTTCTGCTAGGGCATGGTTCTTCCCTCTGTAGCTGGCTTCAGGGCAGAAATTACCCTGGGATGTCAAGAAGCCTTTTAAGCAGAATGAGTGACCCTGTTCTTTGTGTTTCAGGCACAGCTCCCAACTCTCCCATCAGCTTGCCTGAGTCACCCATCTCTCCGTCCGTCTCAGGGCCCTGGGGAGATGAATGCACCATCTGCTACGAGAACATGGTAGACACGGTCATTTACTCCTGTGGACACATGTGTCTCTGCTATTCGTGTGGGCTGAAGCTCAAGAAGATGGCCAATGCTTGCTGCCCCATTTGTAGACGGGCCATCAAAGATATCATCAAAACATACCGCAGCACTTAAAGCAGCAGCGGATGCTGTGGTGTGGACTGGGCAGGTGGGGAGGAGACTGTGAAACAACACGGGTCTTGGTCTCTATTCATCATCCAGGAGATTCAAAAACCATCACCCACCACCACCCTGATCCCCTCTTCCATGGACAACAGATGAGACAAGCTTAGACGCTGCTCTTCTACCCTCCAAGCAAGCCCTGGGGCTTCCTGTGTCAGGGAAGTTGCAATGGACTACTCGCCCTTGTGGATTTTAAACTTTATCTCAAAAAAAACCAGCTGGTGCAGTCATCCCTTTTCTACACCATGCACAGCAGAGGAGAGTCTCCAATGTTTAGCAGGGACAGGAGCAGTGAAAGGTTCAGTGCTACACATCTCCTTCCGGAGACACCCCGCATGCAGAGGACAGCTTAGCAAAAGAGGAGAAACAAGCAACATGTTTCCATGTACAACCAGCCTGACCGTGGGAAGCCCCTTAGAACGGACGGAGCGAGGCAAGCTTTGACCCAGCAAGTGAGGTGCAGTGAGCACATTCACAGTGGAAATGCTGGGGCCAGTGCAGAAAAGGACCAAGGATTTGTGAAGCAAAACCCACCCCATGTCCACAGGCAGAAGAGCAGCCCCATGGCAGCTTTTTTGCGCCTCCCTTGCTGTTCCCTGGCAGAGGCATTCATGGCAGGTTTGGCAGCTGACGCTGGCACTGGCCTTGCTCCATCCCAGCAGCGTCCAGCCACCTCCTGTCGCCATCCTGTTGCATGAGAAGCGGCTCTCAAACCCCACCACCACCGATTTGCTGTGGCTTGTCCCGAATAGTCTCCAGGCCACACGAGGGATTCGGCAGCATCTCTGTGCCCATGGGCCTGCGGGAGAGGGAGATGTGTCTCCCCCGCCTTTCCTCCCCCTGCCATCGAGACAGCACTTGTGAGGGAGAAAATAAAAGAAAAAAAGAAACAAAACCCCCAACCCCACTGGGGAAGAATGTAAAAAAACCCACATGTCTGCGGGTTTCATTTACTAATAACTTTATCACTGTGCTTTAAGACAAAACCAGCCAGGTGGTACTCAGCCCTTCACAGCCAGCCCGCTGGCAGGACATGGCTCTCCTTACTTGTTAGGAAGAAAGGAAAGAAAAAAACTAGCTCGGGGGGGTTGGTTTGCTTTGGTTTATTTAAATAAATCCCCTTCCCTCCTGCCCCAGTTGGGAACCCTGCTGTGCCCATGGTGGGCACCTGCGATGGCAGCCCCCATGGTTGCTGTGACAACCACTGTTCTGCCATGGCTGCTGGCCCGGCACAGGGCTGCCAGCCCTTGGATCCAGGCAGGGTGGCTCCGCAGCAGCAGGAGCTGCCTTTCTCCCCTCTGGCCCCATCCTGCTGCCTTCCAGGGCCATGTGGGAGGAAGAGACTGTGTCTGGGCCTTGAGGGCTGATCAGGGCTGGGGCGCAGCAGCAGTGGCATTCGCCCTGCCATGTTGCCCACCAGGCCAGGTCAGGGAAGGCCAAGGAGTTGCACCCCTCCCACCGAGCCTTTTCCTGCGCCCCAGCATGTGGCCGCTGATAGGACATGGGGGAACAGCATGCCATAGGGATAACAGCATTTAATAAACACAGCTGCTTGCTGCAGGGGGCATCATGCCCCCCCAGGCAGCAAGTGGGTGAAGGAGCACTCGCAGAGGCTGCTCCCAAGAGCACCTGGAAAACATGTCCTCACCCTGTCCTCTTGAGAAAATAAAATAAGAGGTTACTAGCTGGAGAGTGCATTGTAGAGCCTTTCTCTAAAGGTGCCGCCATCACTGCAGCCTACCACGGAGCTCTGCAGCCACCCCCAGCCCACCCCAGTGGGCAGTACTAACTTGAACGCTGATATTCTGGTTACAGGGATTTACATTATTTCTTTGCATACCTCTTACGTACAGCCCTAACCCAGCCCTGCCCCGCACTCCAGGCTGGCTGTCGAAAGCCCTGGAGTGCCATGGCTCCTGTGCCCGGATGCCCTCACTGAGGGGTGGGAGGAGGCCAGGCTGGTACGAGTCTGGGCAGGTCACAGCAGCCATGCCAGCAGCACAGCCGGTCCGCAGGCATGCAGCCTCCAGCTTACCCGAGGACAGAGCCATCACCGGCAGACACAGGGAACCTGTTTCAGTAGTTAGACAAACTCCAATGCAAAGATTTGGGGTAGGAACGTGTTGATGAAACAGTGGATGTGGGGAAACGTGCAATAAGCAGCCTCCCAAGCCTTCACCATGCCAGTGGGACTGGTTCCCCTCCACACAGGGCAAGCCAAGGGGTCCATTTTATTTTTCAAGAAACTCCATCTATGGGTACCAGTGCAGTGGTGTGAATTCCCTTTTCACCTTTCAAATTCAGAGTGTTTTAATATATAACTGTGTTTGTTTTACTGTGGACCAAACTCTAGGAGTTAAGCAGAAGCTGAAAGCATCCCCTAGCATCCGAGCTCAAAAATTGGGGTTAAGTCCTGCTCCTGGCATCAGCTGGCCTCCGGTTGTGAGCAGGGAGGAGGAGAGCAAGGCTCTCTCCAGGGAGGAAAAAACCAGCAAAAGCAGTAACAGTAACAACAATCCTAACATTTTGTTTTGTTTGACTGGTGTAGGTTCCCACGTACCTCTGTGTTCTTGTGTCATTTGCATTTCATTGCTTTACTTTAAGATGTTTTGTGTTCTGTTTAAAGAGAAGAATAACTCATTGTGAAAAATTGGATAACTGTGATTGTGAATAAAGTTGATTTAGGTATCCTGCAGCAGCATGAGCAGCTGAGTATTTACCATTTCCACAAGCGTGGCAAAAGACAATGAGCAGCAGGGCAAGAGGCTGAGGTAAGAGCAACAGTGGCATGAAAGCCTCTTCCTTGGAGAGCGCTCAGGCTTTCCTTCAGTGCTTGAGGATGAGGAGGTATTGACAGCTGGTCCCCCGCTGCACCCCATACACACACAAGGAATAAAAGAAGCCACAAAAGTAAAAGCAAGGGCTAACCATGTTCCTGCAGCTTAAGCCCCATGCTCCTGAGCTTCTTTACATCCTCCCCAGAGAGAAGCCACAGCTTCTTTCCTCTCATTGCCTTGTTTGTACAGTCTCTTCTGAGTGCCTGTAACCACAAAAAAAAAAGACCTCACCAGCACAAGAAAGAGAAAGTGTGCTGTGAGGAAACCCAGGACCATGCTCAGTGTGATAAGGGCCAGGTAAGGGGCTGAAAATTAGGCAGAGCAGTGGCAGTACAGCCAGGCGTCCCCACCACAGCTCTGTAGAGACATGACAGCCCAACACCAGACAGGAAGATCCCAGTCCTGAACTGAGTAACATGGTGAGAAGGCCCACTGACAAGCCATGGTCTGGCCAAGGGAGATGCTGAGGCAAGATGCAGATGCTTCCTCAGCATGTAGCAAGGGACACAGGGACCCAAATGGATTTGGATTCTCCAGAGTGATGCCAGTTCCCCCAAAACCCAATAGCTCCTCTGCCGCAGGGATCTGCTCAGGAGCACACCTACAACACATGTGAGATTTCCTTTTGTTTAACTATTCAGCAGATGAGAAACTGGCTGGATCACTCTCTCTTGTCACAGGACACATTTGAGTTGGCATCTTCTCCCTCAGCGTGGGTGCTCCATCTGCCAGGGACATCCCAGGAGAGCTGTCCTCAGCCTCTCCAGCTGAAGCTATTGCACTCTAACAGCTCCCCAGTGGCCTAAAACTTTCCAGGCTGGGTAAAGTGAAACCACATCTGCAACCCAGCTTTCCTCCAACACCACCCTGAGGAGCTCTTAGCTGTTGGGGCAAGGCAAGCCTGCACACACCTATGCTGCACTCCAAGAGCTGTGCCCAGCTCCTGCTTTCCCAGGGACAGGAGGACTGGAAGTGGGTCTGGAAAGCCCTCTCTGGCCACA